AGGAATGGGGTTGATGTTTCCTTTATCTTGTTTGTTTCATGAAAGCAAATATTCCCAAATGACTTGGCTGCTAGGATAGCCCACATGTGGTTTTCTAAATGTTCCAAACAGGTTTCCTAATGTTAAGGGGATTACCAATAGATAAGGTAGGAATAGAAAAATAGAATAGTAATATGATCATGAAGTATTAAAACGACTATAATACTGATTTGTCATTTTCTTCTCTCTGTGCTACAGGTCAAATGTTTTTTTACTGTCTTCAAGATCACTTATACTCTGTTCTGCACTCCCTATTCATTATAAAACCAGTCCAATTAATTCTTAATTTCAAGGATTTTATAACTAAAATTCTCTTTATTATAGATTCTTTGTTGAAAATTTCCATTTTTCATCAACATTTTTATCTTTAGTTCTATTTTTTAATGTGTTAAGCATGGTTATTTTGAAATCCTTGCATACTGATTCCAATGTATGTCTCATTTCTGGGTCTGCTTAAATTATTTTTTCTCTTGATAATAGGTGTTTTTTTTTTTTTTTTTTTTCTGAATCTTTGCTTTCTACGTCTTTGCTTATCTAGTGATCTTTGATGCCACGCTTTGAGTACAGACATTATAAAAGCTCTAGATTATTTTAATGTCCTCTAAGGAATATGAAATTTATTCTAGCAAGCGGTTGTATTGCTGAATCAATTTGATCCTGTGGACGTTGTTGACGCTTTTTTAGGGCAGGTTGGGTTCAGTCTTGCCTTATACCCAGGCTGTAGTCATGGCTTTTCAGACATCCCAGTGAAAGCCATGGATGTTCACCAAGGCCTCTTCATTCTAGCTGGACTCAAATGTAACTTCCTGTTCCTTGGCACAGTGGGGCCTCAAAAATCTCTCCTGGCTCTCCAACTTTCCAGCAGTTATTCTCTGCTAGGCCTCGTTGAGTTCTTCCTTGGGCATGCACAGTTAGGAGCTGGCCAAGGACTGAAGGCATTTTTAGCAGATTTTTAGGAGTTCTCAGCAATTCCTTCCTGTCAGGGACGCTGCCTGCAGAAATACAAGCCACTCTGACAGCTTTAAATTGTTATCTATGTCTTTTCTACCCAGAGAGATTGCTATGCTCTCCTTGGGTTCTGTTTTTCTTCTGTGTAGATTGCAAAAATGCTCTCAGCATGACAGCTGGGGAGAATGTTAGGAGGCTCTTCTTTCAAGGATTATAGACATGAATATGTTACTGTCCAAGACCTGCAAAAAATATTCTCACATAACTTTTCCAGACTTAATGGCTATATATGGTGTGAGGGAGATATGTACTACTCTGTCATAGCTGAAATTAGTTTACTTCATAAAGGTAATAATTCCAACTGCGATTGTTATTGAATATTTACTAGGTACCAGTGTTTTACATGTCTTATCTAAATTCCCACAAAAAATGTTATCCCATTTTTAGATGAAAAAATGGAGAGCTATACAACTTCAGCAGTTTGCTCAAAGGTCACTTAAGTTGTCAAAGCTGTATATAAATAGCAGCAGTCTGACTTCCCAGCTGCATAGTTTATTAAAGGAATACTGTACATTTTTCAAGGAATATACAAATGGGCCAATGTGCAAAAATAAATTACCTTTGTAACTCAGGTTTTGTAATCCAGCACATAATATTTGTAAATGGTCATCAATTTAAAAATGCCTTTTTGAAGGGAATATGCTTCAGTTTATAGACATACAGAAAAATTCAGAGGATGCTGCAGAAAGTTCCCATACACTCACATCCAGCTTCTCCCATTATTAATATGATATGTTTGTTACAGTTTATGTACCAACATTGATGTATTGTTATTAACAAAGTCCACAGTTTAGTCAGATTTCCATAGTTCTACCTAATTTGTTTTTCTGTTCCAGTACCCCATGTTACTTTTAGTTCTCTTCAGGCATCTCTTGGCTGTGACAGTTTCTCACACTTCCCTTGTGATGACCTGTACAGTTTTGAGGAGCACTTGTCAGGTATATTGTAGAATGTCCCTCCAATAGGAACTTTTCTGATGTCTTTCTCATGATTAGCCTGGAGGTACAGGTTTTTGGGAGGAAGCCCACAGACATAAATGTCATTTTCACGTAATTTAAAGAGTGTATACTATCAGCATGATTTTTCACTGTTCATATTGACCCTGCTTACCTGAGTTTAATAAACATTTTAAATGTTTATAATATTTGGAACTCACAAAGTAATATGTGTGTGTATATATACACACACACACATTTATGTATGTGAATAATAAAATGATCTCCTGTATTGCACCTCTGCTTCCCACTCTCCCCAAGCATTTTTTTTGTATATTTGCTGGAGGCAAGAAGTGCTTTTATAAGATATATTGGGTTTGCAGTTTTTTCCTGTGTTAATACTGTTCTAGAGTTATCACATTTTGAGATTAGTTTGAAATCCATGAATTGTGTGACTATCTAATCTTTCCACAAACTAGAGTTTCCTGAATATATATGTATCTAACCATCTTAATCAGTTTTTAAATTTCCATGTTTCTTAAGGGTAGAATGATCAAATGAGTTCAGGCAGAGAGGGAAAACAAATGTTCAGTAGAATGACATAGTTTCTTGTCCTTCAATTCTAATCTTTCAAAATGAAGCCTGTAAAAAATTGAAGAAATAAATTAATCTTTAAAAGGACATCTTAAATTCTTTACTAAAAATATGTACATTATGGAGATATCAAAATGAACATAGATGATTTATTGTAAGATATAGAAATGTGATTTTTCTAGCCCTGGGATCTTAAACAGTTTTTCCTTAATTTCTTCATTTGTTACTGTGCTGCCTTCATTATAACAAGTATAAACTGGTTTCAACAGGGCGATAGAGACAGACTTGTTCTGTTTATTTTTGAAAGAGGAACCTTAATTATCATCTGTGTTATGTCTCAATTTAATAAATGAGACTTAGGAATAGATGTGTATTATAGACCCTGCAGCACTGTAATTAATTGATCATTAAGAATGACAAATACATATCAATAGTTGGTTTGTATTTGCTCATTTTAGAATATTTATATGTTTATGAATGATGTGACACAGATGAAATCTACTCTTATATAAATCAATCGTATTTTAAGCCCAAACATACAGAGTTTTATGATTTGTTTAGATATGGTTTAGGTATTGTGATATTCTGGAAACCAAAATGGCATTTGAATCCAATTTTAAAATGTCATATAAAACTCGCTTTCAAGAAGCAAAGCAGCTGACATTCAGCATCTTGCAGATCTTTTCCAGCTCTACCCCTTAGAACACAATCGGAGAAATTGATAGAAAAGAGCACTTTAAGCAGAGATGGCCTCTCACCACCATCCTCATAGCTGAGGAACCCAGACACAGGGTGGTGGGAGCATGTAGTAGTTGTGGTGAGGCTTCAATAACATATTTATTTTGTACTATTGCCAGGCTTTAGGCTAAATATGCAAATAGGAGAAAACAAAGTAAGCAATTGTAGTTAGTGTTAACAACTGAGCTCAACTAAAAGGGTGATATGTCTATCATAGTCAGAACCTCTTTTGCTTTGAATTTGTTACAATTTATGGAGTGCTACCATGTGTTAGGCATTGAGAAAAGTGTTCCATATTCAAAGATAAAATGAAAAATTCTTTACATCAAAAAACGCATCATCTGGTAAAGTAGATGGTCAACTAAAAAAGACTATTAAAATTTAGTGTGCTAGAGGAATTCACAGCTGTGGAAACATATAGTCACTTCACCCAAATTGGACTGGAGGATAGGAGTCAGGGTAGATTTCAAGAATCTCTGATACCTAGGTTGAACCGTGAAGAGTAATTAGGGTCAGATAAGCTAGAAAGGGTGTGGGAAAGCTTTTCTGGCAAAGGAATTAGCTGGCCCAAAAAGATTCAAGCTCAGAAAAATAGCTTGTTTGCCCAATTTTAAGCAGTTCTATGTGGCTTGGAGAATTGAGCAATTTTAGGGGAATATCAAGAAGAGGCCAAGAGGATAAGAGACATTTTATTATCAGGTAAAGAGATCAGACTTTATCCTGAGGTTTAAAAGTGATCTTCAAAGGATTTTAGTCAGGATACTGATGTGATCAGATCTATATTTTAAAGTAAGTATTTTGACTTCCCTGTGGGAAATGGAGTATAAGAGGGTAAGACTTTAGAGGGACTATCTGTGTGAATATTCCAGTTATTGAGGACAGAAGGTGCTATGCTGGCAGTGGCAGTTTGAGCAGCCTTATCCTTAATGCCTTATCCCAATGTATATGGATGCAAGAAACAAGAGGAAGGAGCTACAGTAGATCCTAGTGATATACTGGATATTGGGTTAAGGCATTAAGGATGATTCTGGAGTTCAGAGACTGGTTACCACATCCTGTTTTAACAGATAGCACAATTCACAACACAGAGACCTGGAAGATACTAGCTCTGTTTCTATTTTCCCTTCACATTATAATCTCCTCATTATAAATAATTAGAATAAATGGATTCTTACAGGCAATATGGTTTCAAAGGCAAAACCACTTTTTAGCAACTTGTGAAGTAACTCATTTCTTGAATTTTCTCTATTCTTACTTTACAAACAGCAAGCAGGGGTTTTCCCCCCATACCAGTACCCACAAACAGTTCCTAACAAAGTTGGAGAACACTCAGAAACAAGATGAAGAAAAGGATTGCATCATTGATGAAATATTCACACTTCAGTGAAGAGCCAAAGGTTGTCAGAAATTGGATTAAGGGAAAATAATCTTTTCTTTCTGTTAGCATTTGAAATTGTGTCATGTTTTTCCTTGTATCTTAAGCAAATATTTTTTGGTCTCTAATGAAAAGTGTTTGTGAAAGTATTTCCTCTTTATTTGGGAACTGTGTCCATGACGGTGGCTAGAGTCTGAGTTTCTAAAATGCCAAATCCGGACAGCAGCAGATTTTGAAAAGTGACTTGTTTTCAAATTTAACACATGGCATATATATTTTTTTAATATTGTTGTTTTATCCTTTCTTTTCAGGATGAACAGAAGCTACAGGAGAGTTTAAGGCAAGGTGCTATCATTATTGCTTCATTAGTCAAGGAAAGAAATTCTGGACTCATTGGTCAGCTTCTGATAGCATGAAGAACACAGAAAATTACCTACTTTCTAAAACATCTACTTGAGTATCTTTATTGTGCTTTATGCCCCCACTACTGTGTGTGGTAGAATGTTTCAATTGTCTTTTATATCTTCTCTATGTAGGATGTGATGCTTAGATTATAAAGCAGATTAACGTTTATATTTATGAAATAAAGAATACTTTTGTGTATGACAAATATTAATTGCCTGAACCAGAAAAAAATAGTAGGTAAGTGGAAAATAATAGCCTTCAAATGAATCTTTTCACAGAGACATGAAAGGTCAAATAGAAATAATGATGGGTGAGCTATTCTTTCAAGGAATGAGAGTTTAGAAAACTTCAGCTATTATCCTAACTGATAATTAATCATTCACACTATTATGAAGCTAATGGATAAACTTCAGAATTGTTCTCACTTGTGTAATTGTCCTGTCACCAGGTGATATTTTGTCTTTTTGTCTTGTGTTAAAAATTTCTACACCTTAGTAAAAAAGGGTGAGGGGGAGGGCCAGGGAACGGAACTGTTTGTTTCTAGTGTTTTCCCCATTTGCCACATATTACTCAAGATCTCTAAAAGAGATGTCATCTCCTTCTTTTCTGTTTTTAAATTGTATGTTATTCTTGGTTTGTGAACTATAATTATGACTTACATTATTTTAAAGGGTCTCTAGTTTTCTGAATGAACTTAAAAGTGTCTGGAAAGTTTTGTAAGTGATTTTGGTCAGTTCCTGGTTAGTTTTCTTCCAGGTAGAGAATCTATTGTACATCATAGAGTTAAATTAGTTATTTTGATTCAGATGCTGCTACCTTTTAAAATCAAGTTCTTATTTCCATTTTCCATTGGTATATCCATCTTAAATATTAATATTTTCCCTTGTATTTTATAATTATGGGTGTCATTTAATTCATTAGAGGTGCCTTTTAATCTGTACATACATTTTATTTACTTCATTTTTTATTTTTTTGAGATGAAGTCTCCCTCTGTCACTCAGATTGGAGTGCAGTGGCACAATCTCAGCTCACTACAACCTCTGCCTCCTGGGTTTAAGCAATTCCCTTCCCTCAGCCTCCCAAGTAGCTGGGATTACAGGAACCTGCCACCACACCTGGCTAATTTTTTTTTTTTTTTTTGTATTTTTAGTAGAGAAGGGTTTTCGCCACGTAGGCCAGGCTGGTCTTGAACTCCTGATCGCAAGTGATCTGCCTGCCTCGGCCTCCCAAAATGCTGGGATTGTAGGTGTGAGCCACCATACCCAGCCAACATACATTTATTTTATTGAAACAGATTAGGGCTTAGGCTGCACATGGAAACTATAAAAGTTGCATGAAATGTTTTCAATTAAAGATACACTATACAATATCTACCTTGTGGAATTTTTATTTAACATGTTGGGTGATTTTTCCCTCTAGTGTTCAAGTATCTATATAGTAGGAGAGTTTCTATTTTACATTCTCCTAATTGAAATGTGTTATTTGAATGTAGGCTTGTATCTAAATTCCTGGGCCTGCCACTTTCTTTCTCTCTAGGAATATTAAGAAATTTAAAACCCATTAATTTAAGTTTTTGAGGGTGGAAATAGGTAAGCAACATGTGGATTGTGGTTAGAATGTCTGTGCCCTTGTTCAGGTGTTGGCTGTGTGTGTGGCGAAAACCACAGCTGCCGAGTCCACAACATGCACCTGTTGAAGTCATCAGGTGAAAATGTTTAAGACTTTGAACATGCTCATGAAGGAAGAAGGGGAAATGTTATCAAGGCTTTAAAGACAGGGTAAGTGCCTTTAAGAAGAAAGAAGGAAACTGGGCATATCTGTGGCACAGCAAAATCACCCTGATCTCTGGAGCGCTGGCTGAGTTAACATGGAGTTCAGCTTAAGGAATCCTACAGCAGACAAGAATTTATCCCAGAGCACTTACTATAACATTACCCTGGGCAACTGGTAACATTTAGTATAATTTAGTTAATAAAATATTAAATTGTGCTTGAAAAAAATAGCATTTGGTCCTTCGTAGCAGACAAAGCAATTCACAACATTGAAATATATACATGCATATATATATATTTCTATATTTCTATATATTTATATTTATATATTTCTATATATTTATATTTTTATATATTTCTATATATTTATATTTTTATATATTTATATTTATATATATTTTTATATATATTTATATTTATATATATTTATATTTATATATATTGTGTGTGTGTGTGTGTCCCTCACTATTTTCTTGAGGAAATTAGAGCTCAGGGATCTTAGGTACCTTGCCGAAATCATGTGACTGAATAGTAACGAAAGGTTGGACTTAAACTCAGGAAGACTGATATTGAGTGGTAAGCTTATATTCCTGTCTAACGATGACCCCTGGGAAAGATACCTGAAAGATGTGATATATAGGCCAGAGGCACTAAATGAACATTGGCGAAATGGACAAGAAGGGTGGGACACATATGTCCAAGGACTAGATGAAAGTCCTGGAGCTTTCGGCTTTCCAGTCACCTTCCCAACATAAAGAAATTGTAGCTAAAGTTAAGGAAATGAAGAGAAGTATTGGCCAAAAGAGAAATTATTTTGCTGTTTAAGAGATCTGGCCGGGCACGGTGGCTCACGCCTGTAATCCCAGCACTTTAGGAGGCTGAGGCGGGTGGATCACAAGGTCAGGAGATCGAGACCATCGTGGCTAACACGGTGAAACCCCGTCTTTACTAAAAATACAAAAAATTAGCCGGGCAAGGTGGCGGGCGCCGTGAGTTGGAGGCAGGAGAATGGCGTGAACCCGGGAGGCGGAGCTTGCGGTGAGCCAAAATTGCACCACTGCACTCCAGCCTGAGGGAAAGAGCGAGAATCTGTCTCAAAAAAAGAAAAAGAGATCCAGAGGCAACTTTACAGTTACATTTTTATCACTGCTTCTGTAAATTTACTTTAGTAAAAGCTGTCTACTCTCACTTTATTTTCCAAAATCTCGTAAAAAATAATAGTGATTATGCTTCAAGGTTTCTGAAAATGCTTCTTCTTGTGAGAAGTTGTGTTGAAAAATGATTATTTTCTTTCTAAACTTATGCTAGTTAGTTAAATGCAAATTAAAGTTAGTCGTCTTAGGAATTCATCACAGCGTAAGCAGTGGGTTGATTAATGACATTTTGGTAGAGGTCCTATTTTTTTTCATAGAAGTGCTCAATTTGAGATGACTTGTTGCAAGTATACTCATTTACAGGTAAGCGTCAGCTCCCCATATTCTCTCAGATTCTTTGTTATGGTTATTATTTTAAGCATTTTGCATTAATTTAACAGAAATTTTTTTCTTCACTAACTTAAAAGTATCAACTTTATGTAAATACAGAGATCATCTTATAAAAATCAAATTGAAAAAATGTCTTAAAATCTGTACATTTCACTTTGTTTTAATGTTGAAACTACAAATTCACAGAGGCATAAATCATAACGTCTTAATTAGAATGTCAACCATATGCAAGAAGAAAGATAGAAGTTATTTAGAAAGTTTAATTTGAAAATAGAATAATGGAGCATTTTAATTGATATACTATTTGTTAATATGGCTTAAAATCAGTGGACTAGAAGTAGCTGTGTAGATGGTGGTTGGCATTATAGTTGCATTTACATATGTTCTTATTAATTTCAGTTTCACAATTATAAAAAGCATATGCATATTTTTAAGGTGACATTGAAAAAGTACTATAAAGATTCTAAATATGTTGTTTTTACAAAACAAAATATACGTAAATAAATTGATTTAAAATCTAATGTCATTTTTTTTTAGTTTATACATGTTTTTTCAAACTCAGTCACAATTGAATAACTAAATGTAATATTCTCAAAATATAACATTGTGATGGTTTATATTATAGAAAGATAGAATTTGAAGTACAGATCTATATTCTCTAAATATATATATTTAAATATATATCTATGTATGTAAATATATATATTTTATAGTACTCACATATATATAATTACATGTATAAACATATATATGATTATAAAAGCAGAAGTCTTAATTAGATTTCCTCTTCTTCTCCTAGTTTTTAGCAATTATAGTGGCTGCTAAGGATATAAAACCTATACTTGGGCACAGTGGAGAAATGTATGATGATTTAATCTCTGTAATCAGGTGAATTATTGCTCAGAAATAATCTTTTCTTCCCATTGCCTTCTGGAGAAATATTTGTTCAGGACTTTGGTATTCATCATATGACCTGCCTTGGCCAGTACAGTGGGTCAGAAATGTCAGTGTGCCACTACGACTAGACCTGCAGAGACCTTTCGTGTTTCTACTCTCTCTCCTGCTTCCACCACCACCATGAGAAGAACATACCCAGCCTAGCCTGCTGCCTCCAGAAGGAAGTCGAGAGCCCATATCAGCTGACCTCCAGCTAACCCATAAACAGACCAAGGGCCTAGCTAAGATCAGCAGAGCCACCTAGCCCCGTTAGGTTGGCCTCCAGCAGATATGTGAGCCAAATGAATGCTCATAGATTTTGCTAGTACTGAGTTTTGAGTAGTTTTATTGCACACCAATTGGTAACAAACGAAAATCTTTGGCAATATGAGGTATACTTGCCTTAACAAATCTAGGACATACGTAGAGACACACATTTTGCTAAAGCAGAATGCTTATAGGAGAGTTGTTAGAGCAATGATCCCAGAGTACTAGAAAGTTCTGAGGATAACTCATTTCCTACTCAATAGTTTTTAAAGGAGAAAGATAGACCTGAGTGTTTGTGAAAAGTTTTTGAAAGAGGTGAAACTTTCTTAGACATGAAATTATATTGAATTAAATATATGGACATTTAAAAGAATAAATAATAAAAATAGCAAACTTGCTGGATGATCACTATGTTCCCAAAACTGTTCTTAGTATTTTACTTGTGCATAACTTCTGTATTCTTCATAATTACTTTATGTGCTAGGTAGTACACCTATAACCATTTAAAAGATGTCAAAACCGGCTGGACGCAGTGGCTCATGCCTGTAAACCCAGCACTTTGGGAGGCCGAGGCAGGCAGATCATGAAGTCAGGAGTTTGAGACCAGCCTGACCAACACGGTGAAACCCCATCTCTACTAAAAATACAAAAATTAGCTGGGTATAGTGGTGCGCGCCTGTAGTACCATCTACTTAGGAGGCTGAGGCAGGAGAATTGCTTGAACCTGGGAGGCGGAGGTTGCAGTGAGCCAACATTGCACAACCGCACTCCAACCTGGGCAACAGAGCAAGACTGTCTCAAAAAAAAAAAAAAAAAAGTTGTGGAAACCAAGGCGCATACATTTTGAATAACTTATTCAGATATTCAGAGTCAACCAAGCAGCAAGTGGGAGGAATGAGATTCAAATTTGGTTATTGAGCCCCAGAACCTATATTTGTGAGCAGTATGCTATGCAATATTTAAAAACATACTATTTTAAGATCCCTTAAACAAATGACTCTCAAAAATGAGACCTTTTTTAAATTTAATAACAAGAGAAATAAAATGGGTAAAGCCCATTACTTTTCAGTGTTTCAGTACTCTTCCTTTCCCCATCTCCATGCCCAAAAGACATATTTTAGAACATCCTTGGATCTGTATGTGCCGGTGAAACCAATGAAGACTGTTGATGTACATAAGATTATTATCAGTGTTATCTCTTTGAGCTCTAAAGTTGTTGGGATTTCCTCAGGCAATGAATGATGAGATACACTTGGATATTGAAAGTGGAAGATGAAAGCGGAAGCAAGCACTTTCTTGATGGACAAGAGATGCAGGTAGCCATTTGTGCCTCAGCAACACAGCAAGACATGAAAGAGAGTTGAAATCTATTTATCCTTACTAGAGAAAGAAAGGTTCAGAGAAGTGCCCAGGAAAGAGAAAGTATAAAGTCTGTCTTTGTCTTGGGATTCTCCTAATCACATGTGTTCACCAATGTTTGGTCAGCAGGAAAATTTTGGGGTGAATGGTGCCTGGTTTGATGAGAGGCCAGAGTGGAGCCAGGTGGGTTTTCCCTTATCTGAAACATTGGACGCTTGTAACAAAGTCTTCACAGCTGAGATGTATTATGCAAATTAATTCTCTACTTAGGATGCTACCAAATGATCTGAACAGTTGTTAAAACATCTGAATCTGTTTAGCTGCACTGATGAAGCCTAGCTTGTCAAATGCATTTTTTTCTTTCAATTTAACCTTAATTAGTCCTTGCAGGATCTCTACGAGTAGGTCTGTATCAACCTCTTGATATGACAGTTGCAAAAAGGCAGATGCAGAGATTAAGAACTTGTGATCGCTGGGCACACTGGAAGCCAAACTGGAATTCCAGCATTTCTAATGTAGGACAATTTTGGACCAATAATAGCCCATCTACTCTGGATAATTTTTTAGGATATTGTATCACATATAGGAAGGACTGTTCTTAAGGATTAAAAAACTCGATTTAAATCTATATCCAGAATTTTACCTGGATGCATTCACTTATTTTCCATTTTGCAAAATTGCAGTTAAGCCCAGAGGCAAAAGCTTCAACAAGACAATCGTAGAGATGGTTTTGACTCGAGTTGGAGACATGATTTGAGATTCTAGGTAGAGGCCAATTTTGTAAGAATTTCCACTAGTCTGCAGACTGTAATAATTGTGTTATTTGGATAAGGTTTGGCAAAGCATCTAGTAAGATTAACTGAATGAGTTTTCTGGAGCTTTGCCATTTGGCGCTATCCATTATGTTCTTTGTTCTACCTCATTATAAAGTGGGCTATTGAAATTGGTTGGTTTATTGGTATGTCAGGTTTTTATTTCTTTCTTTTTTTTTTCCTTTTCTATTCTTAACATCTGAGCTCTTAATTTGGTTGAAAGCAAGCTCTTCAGCCTAAGTGGATAACAAAACATCCCTTTGAGGATGAGGAAATAGATGATAAAATCTGTGTTACTAATTTTCTTCAATAGTTTGGAGGATTCTTTTCCATCCTGTGTGTGTTTTTAAGACCTTGTTAAGTTCATAGT